TGATCACAGGTCATTGACCTTGGCTATGAGTTGATACTTTGATATTTGACCTCCGACATGTACTTCCGGTTTTATAGCTGCTGATACTTTCATTTGTGAAGTCTGGCGTCTACTTCCGATATTGGAATCTTGTAAATAATGAAAATTATTCTTGCACTGGACCTAATTATCGTCGAAGGTTGATTTTTTCAGGGTCTTTAGCAAATTGCTCTAGTTTTACATTTTTTTTTTGAAAGGACTATTATTATAAATGTGAGATATTATAACAATTGTTTTATGTCTACTAATTGACAAGTTTACAGTCTGTATTTCTCTCTGTTGTTGTCACTATCATTTGAAGCTGGCGTGCTCGACGGCCGTCAATAGGGTATACTTTCTTTGCCATAAAAAAACCAAATCAGTCATACTATTGAATCGGCTATTTGATTAGTGGGCAGTTATTTACGTCATATTTGGTTTATTTATCCACTATCTAGTAGAATGTATGTTCATTTACTGTCTATTATTTTAGCAAGTGTCCAAAACTTTTGGAGTTTTTGGACATTTTTGCCTTTACACTTTGGTCTTAGAGGTAATTAAAGGAGGCACACCAGAAAAATTTTTAAATCTAAATTTGACATCAGTTTACTGTCCGACCACAATGTTTATTGAATCACGTTTTGGCAACCATTTTTGTATGAAATATAGTACTGAGAATCTTAGATTGTTTCAGGTTGTTTTGTATTTTTCAGTGTCATTTCCACACGAAATTTCTGAGAGGAAAGTGTGTTTCTTTTAAATAGTCAAAATCGTCAAAAACTATCAGAGTGTACAAAGAGGAATGAGAATTTTAGAAACTACAAGTATACATTGGAAATAACTCTACTTGAAGTAAAAATTGTGTTTCATAATCTATAATCCTCAGATATATTTTCTCACTATAGTAATGGTTTTCTATATTGGTTGTAAGACTGAAGGTCCAGTTGTCATAATCTGAACTCGTTTAAATTAGTGAGTTGTTTTGATGACATCTAATTTTACTGAGTTTGGCCATTATTTAATGCGAGATAATTACAATTTTTGTGTCGTGTTGTTCCATTAGGGAGTAATATAGACTGATATCTCCAATCGATTTACAATATGCAAATAAGTTGTCCTCGTGTCGACTTGAAAAGAATATAAAAAGATATCTACTATTATATTTTACTGCAGCTGTTCGCCCACTGGAGGTTTTCGCGAAACAGTTCCCTGATTTCCAAACAGTGACGATAGAGCGGCAAGAACTGAATAATACAATCTATTTATTGTGTTTCAATGCAGAAGATTTAAGATCAGCAGTGAAATTATTGCAATCTAATCTGAATGAATCCTTTTGCACAGTCGACATGAATATTATTATTTGTGTAAAAGAAACCATGTTTCTTAAACTATTTGTAGCAGCTATTATTTTAAGTTCTGCTTCAGTATTATGTAATGACAATCTTCCTGATTCTGATTCAAATTTACATGTTCTCATGAATCGGAAACAAAAACCAGTGTTGATAACACCATCATGTGTAGAATGTTATTGTGATTTGGACTGTATGGAATATGGAGATTGCTGTATAGATATATTGATAGACAATAATTTACATACTAAACAAATTGATCCGGGTGTGAACTGTGTTGCCCCTAACGCTACTGATGATATTGGACTACGTCATGTTAACACAAACAAGAACGGGTATTATATGAGAAATTATTACTTCAAGTCTGGAACTGTCAAGGAATTGTGTGACTTTCGATTTTTACCCGTTTCTTGCGCTGATGGTATATCGTATGTAAATATGGAATGTGCCTTAATGAACAAGGCTATAGACTGTACTCATTGGACTATAGAATCGGAATGTACGAATGTGATATCCAATCCGTCATGTATATATTACCATGTACCACCAGTGTTTGTAGAATTACGGTTGTGTGACATTCTCAGATCTTTTGAAATAATTTCAACTTGCAGAATGATGGAAGAGTTGACCAGCCTGTGTGAGAAGTATTTTAGTTTAGTATATGGAGAGGATGGTATAGGGTTTACAGAAACTATTTTTGTTATAGGTGTAATGTTCGTAAAGAAGAAGCCATTCTCAGTAAAGCTAGGAATCCGTTTACAAGTTTGTTCGATTTCTCAGATACATTCAATGAAGCTGTAACGCCGTGTGACGGTCAAACTGCTTGGATGGATATGTATGCAGTAAGTATTTCAAATTTTAATTCTTTACTTCTCTGCAACAACAAACTCTTAATCACTATGGCGTGGGGAAAGCGGCAAAAACCTAATGCTATGCAGAAATATCTAATTCAAAACACAAATGTAATATAATGCAATAACAAATACCTAAAACGTCTAATGCAAATGATAAAATACAAGAAACCTCTGATACAAAATAACTTATACAAGAAACCTCTAATACAAAATACATATAACATCTAATGCACAATTTATTTTACAACGTGAAACATCAGAATCAGAATCAGTCCAGATATCTAAATCTACCCATTCTTTACTGTATTCCCATATATGGCTAGAAATCAACCAAGACATCCTAATAGATGACTTGGAAGAAATATTGGTAAAATTGAATAAAAGCTTATTTTGGCAATTTTCGGAGTTGAAGATATTATTCAAAGTTATTCTCCATGAACTGCAGTATTTGGAAGAAACAAATAAATTCCTGAAATCGGATCAAGAGACTGGTTTATGTTGTAGAGTAGAAGAAAAGTTACAGGTTTCATATAAATCTGAATATGAACCAGTATCTAATCAACTGTCGTGTTCGTATATAGAATTTGATCAATCAGAATTTACAGTTCAGGGAGATGCTGTCGTACCCCATTTAAATTTATCACTAAGTCAAACGAATGGCGAGTTTTCAGTCTTCAAAAATAAACTTTCGGTATGTTTCGAGTTGTTTCTATTGAAGACAAATTTGTCACGAACAAATGGAACTTATTACATTTCAAATGAATCTGGTAGTTTTGATGTAATATTATGGTATGTAACTATTGTTTGTATTTCACTCTCTATGATCTCACTCGTACTTGTTATTATAACTTATCTTGTATTTAGCGAAATAAGAACACAACCAGGAATAAACAATCTGACCCTTTCCTGCAACCTGTTCCTTGCACAACTCGTATTAATGGTTGGTTTTGATAAAACTAACCAAGTAACATTATGTAAGGTTTTAGGCATGACTACTCATTTCCTATGGCTTAGTATGCTATTTTGGATGAATATCTGTTCTTATCACATGCTCAAAGTTTTTGTTTTTAGTAAATTTGTCATTCACTCATCAAACGGAATTCT